CGATTTCGTCGCTCGAACCATCGATTTCCCCGGCGATAAATTTGCGGCGACGGAATCGTGGACGCTATGCCCGTTGCCTTAGACGGAGTTAGCCCTCCCATTCACTATCACATTTGTGTAGGGTCGACTTACTTCGACCGCTCAAAAACAGTACATCTGACGATAAGCATCGACTACAGACTGATAATATCATTGTCCTTGCTCGAAACGAATAACAGAAGTGTTTATTGCTGATTCCATGAGTACACAGACTGAAGAAAGCATAAGCCAAAAAGTACAAAATACAAAATAAATCAAATAGAATAACCCGTCGGGTTGTTTTCCCAGATGTGCTGACTTGTAACGTTCTTATTAGTTTAGAAGACACTGAGCTCAAAAACAGAGCCAAGACACAGATATGGAGAATAAAAAGTAGCAGTAAGACAGCGAAAAATGATCAGATGAAAGGATATGAAGCTGGGAAAGATTATATACTATACAAAATGTACATTATGCAGTACGAGACCGCAGCTGTTCTAAGTAGCACATGAAATTACTTCGCGAAATTGACAGGTGAAGTGGTAAGCGTAAGTAGCAGATTGTTAGTACAGGGGACAAAACTAAGCTAAGACTAGAAATTCGGTAATAAACTGCGTTACAACTTATGATCACCTCAAAAAGAGAGGATAGAGCTTAAAACTGCAGCAAAATAGTGCATCTAATAGAGAAGCTGAATTAAGCAAGGATGTCAGCGTCGCTTTGCTCTGGTTCGCCATCATATTCAATACTTGATGTTCGTTGCCGTCTCGCTGGTACAAATAAATTATCGGCACCATCTCCTTCAGATCCAGACGACGCTGATCGCAAACAACTGCCGCTCGCTGCAGAGCATGACACTGCGCTGCCGCTGCGACAGTGCTGTTTCCGACTAAAAGGGATGCATTCAAAGTGAAAAAAACAGTCAGCAGACTGAACCATACCTTGATGATGGTTGACTACTCCCTCCGGCAGGAGTATGACGACGGCTGGAGGGTTTATTGCGAACACTTATGCGTGCGGAAGATGGAAAATGACGCACAGGAGAGCAGCATGCATCGCGACGACTGAAAATCACAAAATAAGAAAGGAAGAGATTGAAAAGCTTGTAGCGCATATCTCATCCAGATGCATTCTACATACCTACCCAGTATCCGCTTGTCCTTCAACTCCAGAAAGGCCCGAGTCCCCTTCTTCAGCTTTGCTGGCGCTTTCCGCATATTCTTCCATCAATTCATCCTTCTCTTCAATTAAATCCTAAACAGAAAATCTTGACAAAACTGATATGCAAGGTACTTTATAGAACATACCGTCACAGGGTGTGAAGTTGACACTTCCCTGAGGGGTGCGTGGCACTCATGTCGTTTATTCGGCTCAGCCACATTGAACAATTCGAATTTGCGCAACTGCAATAGAAAATTAGATCTTGGAAGAAAAAAAAA